TCGTTGTGAGTTTTTTTGAAAATTATCGAATTACCGTTTATTAATACCTTTTTTACCCTATGGGGTTGCTATGGATGAGTGAAATAATAAAATAAATTATATTGGAACACTCACCTCTTTAACAGTTTTCCGAAGATTTTTTTAAAAACTTTTGCAGCTTCGAATTTTGGACAAAACCCTAATAATTGCTTCTGGGCTTTTTCCCAAACATATTTTTCCGAACAGAAGAAGCGAAACTTTTTAATCAATTATTTGGAAAGTTTGCCAACTTCGTCGCTGTGAATAATTTAGTTATTTTTAATTCCGGTTTCTTCACTTTTAGGTCAATATTTCTAAACAAAACTCTTTCTAAACTGTGGCAAACAGAGTATTTGAATCAAAAAAAATTAAAACGGACTTTACAAGAAAACTGGGCGTATTTATAGTTTGGTCTTCTTTTTCTTCATTTGGTGTCTTTACCGAATACTCGTTTTACCTTTGAATTTGGGACAAAATCCAAACAAAGTTCTTTTGTTCTTTTTTGTCGAAAAAAAAATAGTTTTCCAGAAAACGATCAGAGGCAACTATTTGGAAAACTCATTGAAAACCTCATCGGTCTGAAGAATTTTAAAGTTTATCCAAATTTTCCGGTTTTTCTCGTTTTAGACCAAAAACCAGGAAACCTGCATTTTTGGTGTGCAAAATAACCGTGTCTTTAAACTGTTATTTATCGAATTCTGCGTGTTTTATTGATATCTGCTCTATAAACCAGACTCTCTTACCTCCTACATCACTGTCCTTCAGGTATTTCCGATCGGAGTGCAGCGCCTGCCAAAACTTGATTAAAGTCGTGACGTCCTCTCGTAAATCGATCGCATTTTGTGTGGGGCACTTGACCGGTTTGCAAAAGTAGTCCAGACAACAACAGTAAATTCGCTCTCGCAGAACGTTCTTGGCCAAGCTTTTCGGCAGTATGTCGCCTTGTAAGAGCGATAAACCGCATGTCATCAGCCTATATACAATTTCTTTTGAATAAGGCAAATACAAAATATTCAACTGAACTTACTTAAACCTCACTCCTATAGCAGAAGTATGTCTATTGAGAATCGCAGGCTCAGATCCTACCGACATGGGCAAAGAATGATGTATCAAACTGACGATCATTTCCACCTTCTCATAGCTGCTGGACTTGATCGTTTCCACCAGCTCATAAATGAACTGCACCCAAATAACGTGCGGCTTTACAAATGGATTGTCTGGTTCCAAAAGACACCCTAGAAAAAAACTTTGCTTAGCAGATCAGTCGGGGACACTCTGGTTAAAATAGAAGGGTAGCCCAGAGGGAAAAATAGTATGTAGTAAGGCTGTTGTTATTGTCGTTTGTGTTTTAACTACTGTCTGATTCACTGAATAAAAAAATTCCGATTACTTCAGGAAGTGTTAGGACAAAATTTCCCGAAGACATTATACTTAGAAGTCTCCGGTTAGACATTCTAAGAATGTATAATGATTCAAAAATAAAAACAGGCAGAAATAGACTAGATCGTTACACTAAAACGAGTGTTAATTATAATTTAAGGCGCTATTATATCAAGGAAGATAAAAGCCTACATTTACTAAGTAGGAAACAATGCGGATTTAATGCAATTTCAATGCCGTTTTCAGGATTTTTAGACCGAAGTGTCTTTTGTAGATTGCAAAAGTTTCAATGTGCTTGGGTTAAATGAGATTGGACATCGATCATATAACATCGATGGTAGCCATCGATGTTGACATCGAAAGGTAATATCGATGTTAAGGAAACATCGGAGGCAGAACATCGATGTTTGACAACATCGATGTTCTGATAGCCGTTGCATACAAATTTCAAATTGATTTACTTAAACCTAAATAATTTTATTTCACTACTACTATGACATTTTAAAACAATGCATTGTTAAATAATCGACTAAATTTATTCAACTTATAGTGGCCACATTTTTCAGTCAACTGACTGTAAAAAAAGTAATTCGGATAACCGTTTACCCTTCAGACGATATGTCGAGTTTACCACGTTATTATTATAACTAAGTCGCATTTCATCTGTGACAGAATTTATATCTTCAAAATGTTTAGTGCTTATATGCATGCATGCAGACATTCTGCTTACAACGTTTATTATTTTACATTTCATCTGTGATTGAATCTAAGTCTTACATATGCTTAGTTTGCTTAAATGCAGGTGTACACTCTGCGTAGTGTGCTGGATATAAACATAAAACTTGCGTTAGAGCGCTTTAAGGAAACGTTAACATTTGACTGCAAACTACGGAACAGACTGGATTTGTCGAGAGCTTTTCTAATAAACTATACATTTCAAGAGCTGCCAGACGATCAAAAACAAAGAGGTTTTTTTCGGGTGCAACTAGAAATGGGCCATTATATATGCCGCGGTATCGTTTGTATCAGCTCTATCAAAGAGTCCGCAGAAAATGCTTCTATCTAGTATCAACATCAAATGTCCGATGTTTTTATTTCAGGATCTAACATCGATGTTCTTCTCCCATCCCTATTTGCACGTGACTTCACAATGAAATTCACACAGTATTCCGATCCAATCGTCTCCTATTGACAGTGAAACTTTTGGGTTGCTGCTTCTTTTAAATCAAAAGTTCTCAGTTTTTAAAGCGAAGGGCGCAGTTTTGCGAAAACCTTGATTTTTAGGCCTACGTTTACTATATTACCAATACTCAGAATTTACTACGATTTTAATGCAGTTTTCAGAGTTTTCAGATTGAAGCGTTTTCTATAGAATGTAAAAGTTTCAAGTTGCTACATGCGTTAAATTAAAGATTCGCCGTCTTTATATCATAGCATGCAGTTTTTTAAGCGACTTTTATCTGAGTCAATATTTATTAATGGCTTTAAGCCTTGGCATACATTTGGCAAATGTATGCCAAGGCTTAAAGCAGCAACAACGCTACACGTAAAAACTGATGATGGTGGAAAAATACACCGAAACGTATTTTAATTGATAAATAAAGACAATAAATGACTGAAACCCAGGAATTAATTTTGATTTGGAATTGAAACACAGTCAGGAAAGTATATACAATTGCTTCTAAAGAAAATTTTTAGTCACTATAGTTAAAAATGATGATTCGGTTATTTTTAGTTTCGAACAAACTGCACCCTTCCTGTAGCACCAAACCACCGCCAAACCGTCGACTCAACAAGGGATTCAATATTTCAAATCGCATCGTCGTATTTGCAGATTTCGCTCACACCCATACGGTTGGATCAATCCCTACCAGTACTGAGTAACAAAAGATCTGAGTAACTGCGTAGTTACAATTCGGTATTTCGAACCATATCTTCTTTCCGTGACTCAGTAACGAATTCAAACCGTTTCAACAGCGCGATTATTTAGTGTAAATTCTTAACAATACCTACCTTCGTGAACCGCCAAGGGACTGGTTTGCTGATGGGTCACGGAAAACAAGCCCAACTTCTTGTGAACAGTGCACTTCCAAGCAGCAACCATTTCTTGCAGAAATCGCATCTCCAGCTCCGGCTGGGAAGTGGTTAGCCACTTCCAACATTCTACCGCCGTTCGCATAGCTTCCACGCTGAATAATTCAACCTGGCAATGAACCTCTGGTTATAAGCGTACGAATAAAAGTAGAGAATATTTGATCACCTGGGACCATGTGATGGCATGCAACAAGTTACTGTTGAACTCGGAGCTTTGAATCAGTAAGGCGGTAGCTTGCCAAATAGCTTCTCTATGCATGGAGTCAGACTGTTGCTTACAGGCACTCCATACTCTACCCAATACAGTGTTGATTAACTCTTCTTTGCGGTCGTTTCCGAAGATTTTCAACATCCCATTTACCTGAAGAAGTCGTTTTCTTATAATAAATATTAACCAAGTGCTGTAAAGTTATATTCCACATGGTCTGATAATATACAGGGTGAGTTTTCTTCAGCGCAAAGAATTACAATTTTGAATGCTCTAATCGAGACCATTTTTATTCTGTCAAAATTTGACAGCTGTCAAGAGATATTTGAAAAATACCAATTTATGGCAGATTTTTAAATAACTCTCAGTTCCGTCAATATAACTGACGTCAATCTGACAGGAAAACTTCAAATATAAAAGTTGTAAGAAATTCGCGAGTTCAACAACCGATGGGGGCGCTGCGAAACGTCAAATTACTCGTTGCCGAGTGACAGTTGAGACTTGTCAGGCTTGTCTATCAATTGTAACAAAAATGAATGTGAATTAATGAACGAATTGAATGTTGATTAGAACAAAACAAATCGCAATAAGATGTAACACCCAATGTCAACAAAACAAGTGTCAAATTACTAGTTAACTTGTAGTTATAATTTTAGCCACCAGCAACTCGCGAATTACATTCCAAATAAAATGGCATGACATTTTCACAAATTAACTGTCATGTTATTTGTTGACATTGACATACACATGTTTTTCCAAAATGTATGACTTTCAATGGTTTCAGCAGCATTTAATACAGGAAAGTTTGCTCTATTCACCCTGCTAGTTTCTATTTACACTCACTATTTTTCACTAATTTGCTATCGCAAACGGGGATTAGGAAGAATGCTGAGAGAGGCAATATTCGTTTATCCAGCGATTGCCAATTTAGGTATACTTTTCCTAAATGTTAGGAAAATTTTTAAGTCTAAGGATTGAACGGGCAGTTTTGCTTCCACCCGATTTACCGATTTTTTAAAAATTTGCAACTCTAAACAGGGGTTAGAACGAAGATTGCTGCTAGTATCGATCAATGCAAACAATTTTGTTCTGAAAATCGTGTGGATGGATTCCCTGCATGTCCGGGACCTTTTTAAGTTTAAGGCTTGAAAGGGGCGTTTTTCTTCGACCAGTTTTGCAAGTGAGTCTTTAAAAATGCGGGTTATTCTATGCGGTTTAAGAACAAGGTTCATAACAAGCCATAAAACTTGAAAGTTTTATAAAAGCAAGAAAGGAAAGCAAAATATTCAAAGATAAGCGCGTGCTAAAATCCAGTAGTATGCGGTCTCTATAAGCGCAGCAAGCGAGCAAAGAAAGCAATCACAAATTAGGGCACGGTTTGAACCTGGATTTAACAAATAACTGAATTTCACCGAACATATCCAGCATAAAAAGTTTACATTTTCAGAAAAATCGAGCAGGACTAATCGGAAAAATCTTTTGAAAATGAAGTCACGTATTCCCTCGATCTTGATGTTTCCACCAAAAAAGCATTGACAAATAATGGCTTGTGGGAAATGTGGGCCATTTAACCAGCCCTTACACAAAATATCAAGCTCAAATTGCTGAAAATTTCACAAAGATCGAATAAAACGACTGATTCGAAGCATATAATTTGGTAAAATTTAAAATACTGACGTGCGACCGGCAAATTCTATAAAACAAATCCAACAATCAAAATACTGAAATAGAAGTGCCATGCCAAGCAATGAATCATCCAACGGGCGTTCAAGCAAATTATTATTATTTCACGATGTTGGCTCTGTAGTAGGTGGTGCCTAGGGAATGCGGCAAAGTTTCGATCTCGCATGGATTTTTTGGAAAGTGTCGGAATATTTAGTTTATTACAGCCAACGGACGAAACCGATGGCCTGGCCTTTGTGTGGTGTGAATCCAGTTGTTAGATGGAAAATATAGAATAATTCTGATCTTTAGGGAAAATGTGGTAGTTATCCGGCCTGCCGTTGCATAATTCGAAATGCATTTCTTGTGTCATCAAGTGTAGTGGGTAGAAAATTGACGATGGGGCGCCAGCTTGCAGAAAGCTGGTAAAACCGATTTCTAATCTATAAAACCTGTAGAGTAAACTGATTTTGGTTTTCCGAAAAGCGACTTAACTTTTATGGATTCCTTGTAATTCTCTCTTTTTTGCCGATTTGTTAACTGCAATTTATTGTAAAATTTATTTTAAGTCACACTTTATAGATTAACTAGCGGTGAAGTTCAGACCAAAATTAAAACCAGACTTGCGGCTGGCCTAAATTTAAGCCACTAAATGGTGATAAGTTTTTTGGAGAAAAATCGCAGATTTAAGGAATCCCAGCGGTCTGGATCCGGACAGCATTTTATTTCATAAAAGTAGATGGCAATCAGGGTTGTAGCTTTTTTGTAGCAATTATGCTGCTCGCATGTGCAGATTTGTGGATTTTATGACTCAGATTTCCATTTCGCCCTTTGCGAATGTTATATTGCGGATTTTGAAAATAGTAGCTTTAAACTCTTAATACTTTATTACACAATTTAGGCACTTAATTTGTTAACATACAATTTTTTCAGGTAAAATTTTCAATTTCCAGTCGATTTTGGTTGTGTGTCCAAGTGGTGTAGACGTTTTGAGGACTAATGGCGAGAAAATGGAGGATGGGGCCCCAGCTTGCGGAAATCTGTTGAGAATAATGTCCAATTTATAAATTCTTTAGCTTGAACGAGTTTCCTCCTCCTCCTCCTCCTCTCAGGTGCCGTATCTGATGAGGTTGGCGACTATTATGGCAAATTGGTCTCTCTCATCTGCTTGATGGACGAGCGTATTTCCGTCAGTCTTGCTACAATCACGTATATTTCGGAGCCATGATTTCTTCTTCCTGCCTATACTCCGTTTTCCCTCGATTTTTCCTTCCAGTATTAATTGAATCTATTCGTACTCCGCATGTCGCAATAGATGCATTAGGCCAACTGTTTTTCTGATGTTGGTATTAGTGAGGTGTGGGCGTGTGTGCATTCTTCTTATGACTTCTTCATTTGTGGTCTTGCTTGTCCAGCTTATCCGTAACATACGGTGGTACATCCACATTTCGCAGGCGTTCAGTTTTTTCGGATCTTCTGCTTTGAGGGTCCAGGTCTCACTTCCATACAACAGTAGAGACCATATATAACATTTAAGGGTTCTGTATCTTGTCTCGACTGGGAGCTTCGGGAACCATTGGACGTTCTCCGTGTGCTCTTATAAATCATGGACCAGATAAAATAAAATCTAATTACTTGCCAGTGAGCAGTGGAGTTCCGCAGGGGTCAGTTTTAGGGCCAGTGTTGTATTCTTTGTATGTTGCCGATATAAAGGAAAGTATTGCTAATTCTAAACTTAAACAGTTTGCAGACGATTCTTAATTGTATATGTCTTTTAATCCCAATCAACATGAAAATTTTGCAACAAAAATTAATGTACATTTAAAAAATGTAAGCACTTATGCACAAAATAACACGCTAATAAAGCTTAATGCTACAACGTCATGTATTATGCTGTTAGGAGAAAATAAAAACCAAATATCCAATATAAATAAAATCCTAAATATAATATTAAATAATGAACGGTTGCCTATTGTTACAGAAGCCAAAAACTTATGATACTAGCCTCACTTTTGAAACGCATGTTAAAAGAAAACTAGACATTGCATACCTTAGACAAAAAAACTGTATAACATAAAAAAAATCTGCTTTAAAAAACAAAATTTATTTGTGTAATTTTTAGTTTTATCTTTACTGGACTATGGCGATGCTGTTTGTCATGGTTCTTTAACTAATAAAACTGCAAAATCCATCCAAAGGTTGCAAAATGCATGTATGCGGTTTGCATATGAAGTACCTTACCGGCAGCATATTACACCTTATTCAAATAATTATTCAGTGTTGTCCATGGCAAATCGGCGTGAATTACACTTACATAATTTAATTTATAGAATTTTAAAGTCCAAGCAACCATCTTATCTGTATAAACTTTTTATCACAAAGGATCATCCTCATCAAACTCGATATATTGGCGATTTTTTTGATACCTCAACATCATTCTACAAATATTCAAGTCTTTTAGTTTCATTACAACGCAAAAGTGGAACAATATTTCAAATGAAGTTAAGGCTTTTTCACTACCTACATTTTCTAAATACATTAAGATTAAACTCTTGCAAGAACAATCTTTAGAAGTCCATTATTCGTCAAATTATGTAAACATGCATTGAATATATATTTTTTTGTATATGATGAATAAAAATTATTTTGAATTTGAATTTGAAATGGACGCCACGCCACGCAGCCATTTTTAGTGACGCCGAGTTGGAAAAACAAAAATATTGTTTCTTTTAAGCCCACCGCGGTACTATTGTGCACGACCAGAGAAAAAACTCGTGCTTTTCTCTCATGCACATTCACTCAGAGAATGGGGAGGGAAGCTATGCCTCAAGAAGACAGTGTATAGGGGCGTAGCCTTCCAAATGTACCGGCTTGGTTCAACATAAATTTCCCAAGCAGAACACGTAAGCGAAAAGAAAAGATTAACTAACCTCTCCCATGTACTTAGATCGCATCGCAGACGTGGAAATAATCTTGCTGGAGTCAGTTTTAACACACTGCGGCCGCTTTTCCAACGTGCTGGCGCTCAAGTGGGAGCTGTAAGCGTTCAAAGGCCCATTATGCAGAATGGAGTCCAGTGCCATGGCCAAACCCGCATGATGCCACATATCTGGCGAACATATTTTAAGTGTGATTACCCTCAATACAAGCAGCCAAATCTATACCTGAGGTAGGGATTTGATTTATGTACTCTTGAATGTACGAGCGAGTCCATTGCGGGGCCCAACGCATTGCTTCCTTGATAATCCGTTCCGAATTGTCGGCGAAATCTCTAATTATGGACTCTCTCGCTTCAAGTGTGTCCATCAACTGGATCGAGTAAGGCGTTTGAGGAATTTTCAGTGTGGGCGTCTCCTGGTTCGGATCCACCTCTAAGGAGTAAGACAGCACTTGGAGAATATCAAGCATCGTCCACAAAACCCTGAAAAATTCGACACATTCGCGCTCATTACAATCAGGATTTAGAATGGATTGGGACTAATTCAGAAAAGCGCCAGCTGAGCTTTTGAGGCACAAGTACAGGTCTTTGGCCTAAGGTAAGTGTTGTCTGCGGGTATTTAAGGAGAACAGACAAAACCTCATTCTCCCTAAAAATTGAGATATTTGGGAAAAACTTAATAAGAAATTTGGCAACGATCAATTTGATTGCTCCTGCAAATTAGTCTTTTGCTAGGTGGATCTCAAGAAAAACTAAAAAAAAAAAAAACAGGGCCGAGACCAGTTGAAAAGAACTCAAGGTTTCAATGTTTAGTTTTCAACTGAAAATTACAAATATTCAAAGAAATACCCCAATATAACTGCAACGACTTAAATAACAAATATGCAAACATTTTGCCGACTTATTTAGTATACGAGTTCTTTGTAGGTGAGTAACAGTAAAGTTGTGTATGGAAGTAAAATCCAAACTCACCGTCTGCTCCACAGCAAGTGAGGAAACTTGTCCACCAAAGCCACCAAGAACTTATCGGAAACTCTCCTAATTTGTTTATGCGTATGGTTAAAGTTCACCAAAAGGAATTGAGCGTGCTGCTCCAGGTCGGCTTCACGCGCCTCATTCTTTGGCTTGTTGCTCATCACTTCCAGAAACTTCTCAAATACTCGGTCGCTCACGGCCGCTACACAGTTCCACAATCCGGCTTTGTCTTTTTGAAGCGCTGAATCGCTGAGGTAGTCCGATATTATCGGTACCAGGCTGGGTTCACCCGAATGTTGCACTCTAGAACACATATGAAGAGACTTAAATATGCATATTTCATCTTAAATGATAGTAGAACAACGCATTAAAAATATTTATCAAAATATCAGACACTTAGGTGCAAAAATATGCAGTTTTTGCTCGTTTGTCGGAAGCGACGTGAGCAAGAACTCTCATTTTTACATCATTCCAGAGAGAACTAAATGGCCTTTTTAGAAAGTGAACCATCGATAAGGAAATTTAGGCAGTTTTCTAAAAAAAAGTCTTGATTTCACGAAGTTTTTTATTTGCGTGTTTTTTCGAGTTGCAAAGTCGACTTAAAGATGACGCTGCGTTTCTCGAGGTTGTGAGGTTTAGGAAATGCTCTGTTGCGCACACCCAGAGCTGCTGATCTGTCGTTCTGGACTGTGTGGGACTCCAGATAAGCTGTTTCTTGGTTCAACAAGAAACAGGAACCACAAGCAGGTTCTTGGTTGGTCAGTGGTTGCTCGGCCCCTGCTTTAACAAGTTCCGCAGCAATCTCGTTTTCCTTTGCTCCTGTTTATCACAGTTGCCCAAGTGAGTTTTACTCTGTTTGACCCCCAGAGTCGTAAGTTCTTTTACACAATCTAGCACATATTGTGACCTGATTGTGTACGATTCAAGTGCCTTTACGCTGGCTTCATCTCCGGTTACGATGGTAATGTGCTTACGTGTGTATGCTCTTTCCCTCATTTTCCGGGCGCAATGTGTTATCGCTAGAATACTTGCTTGGAAGGCGGTCGTGATTGTACCCAGGTTCAAGACAATCCTTTTCCCAGGTTTTTCCTCTTTCGACTATACCAGCGCCTGTGCCCGACGCTGTTTTTATGCCTTTCGTGTACCATACGGAGTCCTCTGTAATGGCTAATGTCACCCATACGGTAATTTTACTTAATAACAAGTAATCACATTGATATTTTTCAAATATGTATGGTATAAGATGCAAAAAAGTGTCGGTTGTATGAATGAGTGATGAAAAGTTTGCGCTGACAATGACTGAGAAATAGGTACCGACAATCTCCAGTTTTTAAGCCACAAGGACATTTGTTTAAGAAAATCAGTTTGTGTTGTAGAATTAGATCTTACCGGTTCTCTATATTAATCATTAAATCGCTTACCCTCCCAAACACTTTTAACGTTTAAAATTTTCCACCATTTAATAAAAATATTTAAAAATATGCAAGTTCCATCAGCATTAGAAAATGATTCGGGATGGTTCCTAGAGATGCAACGTAGAGCGGCACCATTTTTTCGTTAAAAATGTTTATTGCCAATTTTACATTTTGTTTTTCAATTGAAGAAGGATATAAAACTTTATATGATAATGTATGAGCTAACTTAATTACGGAATTTTTTTCTAATTCATATAAGGTTACAAGATGTTTGAATTGTGCTGCAACTAAATTTTCATTATTAAGCTCAAAATCAGGATATACAAATTTACAATTATCGGTTTTCTTACTAATCCAATTATTACGAATACATTTTAGTATATGAACAACATCAAAAATGAAGAAAAGTGATCTAGATGAGTCCAACGGATGAACAATAGATGGGTGAAGAATACCATTAGAACAAAAAAGTTCAAACGCCTTTTTATTCACAGGGTTGTTGTCGGATATTAAAGCTATAACAAAAAATCCTATACTTTCTAATTCTTGCAAAACATTAAAAATCATAATTTTTWGTTGCTGAGCAGTYAAMTTWRTAWYTAGGWAMTAKACTGACSAMATCCTTATATTTAGAAARYRTMYWAGCTTGCACTKTCKTWGCGAYTTGTSGTATTMGATCCTAGAATACTATCACCYTTAAAATTCAGCACTGGATTCACATAAATTTCGTCCAAATGGACATTGATTATAAATTCATGATTTTTCAAAAATGACAATTTAGTTTTTAAATAATCAATACTCCCTTTGAGATCAGATGCATGCAATGACATTTTACTTATCACTTTTTTGATATTCCTGGGATGAGGCAAATAAATACATCCACTATTGTACAATGCAACATAAGAAGCTGATGACTGAATAAATAATGTCGAAGCCAAAATTATTGTATGCCCAGTGTATCGTCTGGTGTGAGGGGGTCGTTTAGACAGTTGAAGCTGCTCAATTATAAATGACAACTGTAAATGATCTTCAATGTTTGTACTAACTTTAGTTAATATATCTATTGCTGCCTCCAACCGATTTTCTGCTACACTCTGAACATTATTAGCGTGCTCAAGAATAAAAATTAAAATGTCTTCTATTATATTCAAAGACTTTAAAACTTTCAGTTTTTGAGGAACTTTTTGCACTGGAAATTTAACGCTTCTTATATAAATTTCATAATTCATATTCGCAAAAATCACTAAGGAACACAAGATGAACGGTGCACCTTCATTTATATCGACGATAATAAGATGGAGCTTTTCCTTTCCACCTATCAAAATCCATTCTGAGCGTTTGCTTTGATTATTGTGAAACGACAAAATATCTTCCAAAGTGTTTAATTGTTTCTCTTCTAAATATGTTTTATGTGTCTGTAAGCTATCTTTAATTGCTTTTTCCATTTGGTCTTGCTCAACTTCATGCAACCTCTTTACACCATTTGAGTGCCTCGGAGTTGCACTCAAGTATTTCGGTACATTTTCAAAAATTGTTGAAACTGCACCCTTTCTCAATTTCGGTATTTTTCGAACAAATTCTTGCCACTCTCCATTCACAATACACTTGTCTACTTTAATAATTTCACGTTCCTCAAAATGTTTGATACATACAATAGGATTCTTTAACATCGATAGATCTGTCGGTATTTTTTTTATCCACTTTTGGCGCAACGTTTTATCAGAAGGAAGAGCAAAAGTGGAAACACCTTCTTCTTGACTTTTGTAGTTAGACTTGCATCCAGTAACACTGCAATGCCGTGGCATATTTGAAAGTTTCTCCTTGATTGCTTCTAATTAACACTTAGTTCTGAATCTAGAAGTCATAAAAGAACAATAATTAATAAATCATAAATCATAAACAAGTATTAAACATGTTAATGCCTGTAGAAATCCTTAAAATAAATTCAGAGTATAATAATAACACAAACACTGAAGTGGAAGTTCTCTAACTATTTCGTAAAAAAAACATACCTGCACTAAACTTAGTATTGTAGATCCGTATTTAACACAACTTGACACAATAAAAAAATCAGATTTAGCAATTTTCAGAGAAACAAACAAGTTTCTTGAAATTACTCTGCCCTTAACCTACGGCAACCTCACCAAACTAAACCAGATAGTCGGACTAAGTTGATCACGTGATAGTCGAGCGCCATGGCCTGTCTTTCTCGTTGGCCTCGGTTTCACAATAGTGACGTACATGTTTTCCCAAAAGTGCGTTTGCAGCTCCATAAAGCTCTGATCGCCTTGTTTGTTTTCTGCTCCACATGTTCTTTAAACAGCGGTTTGTTATCAAGGGTTACCCCAAGATATTTAACAGTGTCGGACATATGTATTATGTTCCCATACATAGACATTACTTTAAGGCCTAAGCGCTCCAAGATATCTTTATGTTTTGGATAGGCTAATTTTCAGCCCTTCCGTGTTACACCATTGTTCGGTAATGTTTAGCGCCTGTTGCATCAGTGATGACACAGTGCCTCCAAACTTTCCCTGCACAACAATGGCGATATCATCCGCATATCCTAGTGAACATCAGACACTAAGGTACAAGATTATGTCAAATTTTCAAGTTTTCCGTCCCGATTTTGCGCGTTTCTAGGAAGCAACACGAGCAAGAACGCTCATTTTTACATCATTCCGAAGAGAACTAAATGGTCTTTTTAGACAGTGAACCATCGACAAGGAAATGTTTGGATAAGGAAAAAATTGTTATGTAGTAGAAATTCAATTCAATTTCCTTTACCTTAATATCTCCACCCAGTAGACACTCAACAGGAAAGTGCACTGTGCAAAGGTCAATTTGTTGTTAACAATTGCAGTGACGTCGGCAGGATGCCGAAGTCGGTCCAGGATTTGGTTCTTCAGCTCCTGAAGTTCAGTAATGGACACACTATCGTTCTTCACTGCGCTCGTGTACTGCAACTCTCGCATTTCCGACCGACTGGACGTGGGAGAGACCAAAGCTGGAGATTTCGCCGCGATTTCCTTCACTCCTTCATACCATTCGGCAGGCCAGAGCCCTAAATAAACAAAAAATTGTTCTGCTCGTTTCCTATGCAGTGGACTAAAAGTTCTACCTGAGTCGGAAGCAGTAAATCCCATTATTACACAGTATAGCCAAAAGTCGCGGAACATTTTGTGGATGCGCGGCTCGGGGTTTCGAATCGGTGGAAGCCG